TTGTCTTAAGGGAAGGGGAGCCCTGGTTCATCAGGATTCTAGTCACCTCCCACAGGCTGGCTGGCCAGGGGCTTGGGGATTCTACACCCACCCAGCAAAGGATTCACCCCACAAAGCAAGTCTTCCCAGAAACCATAAATTGCAGGCTTCTGGAACACACAAGGTAGGCCCCAGCCACCAATCTCTGTGCCCGACTGACAAGGCTTTGCTCAAACACGTGGGCCCAATCTAGACAGATGTTTGGGCTTTTGAAGGAACATGACAGCTGGTGTCTAGTCACCTGGTCCAGCTTCTCCCCTAGAAAAGGGCCCTTTGAGGGGAAAAGTGGAGTGCTGGGGAGAAGGAGAGGGAGCAGAGGAGACCAGGCTCTTTGCAAAGATGGGGCTTTCCTGTCTAAACGCTTGGGGCTACTGACTTCTGGATGCCTAGAGGTGCAGCAGGGAGGCCAAGGAGCCAGGAAGCAGGGCCAAGGTCAGACCACAGACAGCAAGATTTCTTGCTCTAGCCCTTGGCAAAGTCTTCTGTGCCTCCTCCCAGAGGACAACTGGACATTTCATCATCTCCAAGCCTCCCCACTCTGCCCACAACTTGACTACCACCAGCCCTTCCATGGTCCCCCAAACACACCTTCCACACAGAATTCCACCTCTTCCAGGTTCCGCAGAGTAATCCGCATGAGGCTGGAGTTGAGCATGAGCTCGTTCTTGTGGGCCGGCCATAGGTAGCGGGGAGCTGGGTTCACAAAGAAGATCCTGGTGTCCCCAGTGGACACCTGGTTGTCACAGATGAGGGGGTCTCCAAAGCCGCTGATCACCACCTTGTTGCCACCATCCATCAGGTTCTCCTGGGCCACCACATCTTTGCCCTTCAAGTACCGCCAGACTCGAACCTGGGGTGGAAACAGGGGCAAGTGTCACGGTCCTCCTTCTACTCAGGGAAGGGTACCAGACTGGGGGTCTGAGACCTTCCCCACTCTGGCCTCAGTGGCTCCAGCCAAACATCCACAGCTGACCCTAGTCCTGAACAGACATATGTAGATATTTGGGTCAGCCCTGGGCACAGGCTACAGAGACCCATACTCATGCTGATTATCACTGGCCCTTTAGGACCAGACACCAGATCAAGCCACCATGAACATATCCCCACCCCCAAGAAGCAATTCCCCACCCCAGGTCTAACCAATCCCACCCACATCAAGTGCAAAAGGTCCATCTAGGTACAGGCTAGATCTGGGAATCAGCTCTCCCAGGCCTGGAGCACCACCTTCCACCCACCCACCTCTACTTGGGTCACTCTGGGGAAGACTAGAACCAGCAACCAGGACAAAGGGGCTTCAGGACAAGGGGCCAGCTTGGGTCCATGTAGCTCCGTAGATGAGCTGAGACAACTTCCCCCAGGAAGGGCCCCTCTGCAGGTTTCACAGCCCATGCAGTCAAGGCAGCTGGGAACCGCAAAGTCAAGTTGGGGCAGCTCAAGGCAGCCTCACCCTCCACCTTCTTCTCCTGGTGCCCTCAGGGCACCCGTTCTGACTAAGCCTGAGACATGGCACCCTCAGGCAGCCCCCACAGGAACAGGCCTGTGGGACCATGCATTTCCTGGAAAGGTGCCCTAGGAAGAGGCCCCTTCTCCAGGAGCCCGGGGCCTGGGCTTCTGGAAGGGGGTGGGGGTGAAAGACAATGGATAGCATGTCCACCTGGCCAGCCGCTGGGAGCCTCAGGACTGCAGGGAGCCTCAGGACTGCGGCATCTGCAGGGACTCCTTCAACCAATGCAAAGCGTCATGTGCCCCACCGCGAACATAGTAGGACCACAAACCAGGCAGGGGGATGGTCTTTGAGCTTTCACAGACCCCCACTCCACCCTAACCACACCCAGGAGCAGCCAGAGGAAGTCGGGAAAATCCTGCAGGGACTTGGCAAAGTGCCCTGGCGGCGAGGGGAGGGGGCCCGGCTGGGGGATCCCAGCTGTATCCCACACAGGCCACTCTTAAAAGAAGCTGCCACCCTCTCCATCTCCACAGAGCAGGAACGATCCGATTGCCGGTCCAGGGAGGTGGTTTGGGGGGTGGTCAGAAGGACCATCCCGGTCCCAGAAGCCCTCTCTTGCAGACTGTGGGCAGAATACCCCCTTCCCAATACCTAATTGTGAATTCTCCAGATCCAGCCGAAGGAGAAGCAAAGAAAGGCCTCACTGGCCGGCTCCAGTTCCTTAGGGAGCAGGACTCAGCACCTGCACCCTACCGCGTCCCCCACACACTCTGGCCTCCGCCGCGGCCCCGCCCCCTTCTCGCTCTGCCCCCACATCCAGTCACTGCGGCGGCTCCGCTGCCAGGTCACTGGGCTTTGCGCCCTTTCTCTCTCCCGACCACCCCCTCTCGCGCTGGTAAAGGCTTCTGGGACTGGGAGTGGAGGGGGAAAGAACAGCAGTGATCACACTGGCCGAGTACCCCGCTCCGGCTCTATTCCTTTTCTTTGGCCGGTGGGGAGGAGTGCGGCAACCCCAGTCCTCCCAGGCGGGGGCCGGGGGAGGCGCACTTGTTCTGACAAGGGGTGGCTCGGGCGGAAGAGCAGTCCCCCTGGGTCTAGGGCCTGGGCCCCACGGGCAGGACCGCAGCGGCACCGTAGAAACTTTCCCCCGGTGCTCCAGACTTTTCCGGGACCTGGTGCCCCACCCGAAGGCTTGGCGGTCGCCAAGGGAGCGCGAGCGAGGGCTGCGGAGCGTCCGCGTTGCGTTCCCACGCCC